GCTACAAGAAGCTACATGCAAAATCCAGTATCTCACTTAGATACGTTGATTATAAAGTAATGTATGTTTTGAATACGAAATCTGCTCTTGAAAGAGGCCTGCGTTATTTTACATGCTCCAGAGTACGAACAGAGGAGGAGATTAGGAGAATGTTAGCTTCTGAAGCGTCATTCATAATAACGGCGAAGTAGTTCCAGCGAACAAAAGTTAGGGATGTCTGGCACTGGGCAACGGAGGGGGGGGCGTGTAAATACCACGGTGCCGTGGCCTACTTAAATAGCACCTCTAAGCACTTAGGGGCAAGGCAGCGGCGCAATCCCTTTAAAAATCTGGTCTTGAGGAGTCATGCGTTATCGTCTATGCCATGTGAAACACGAGTCACGGAGACGGAGACTTCATTACGCTACATTTTCAAGTCTCTGAAAACCGTCCAGCTGACCGGGTGAATGCAATTTTTTCAATACCCAATTTAATCAGTCAACTATCGTATAATTTTTCCGTCTCACCCGTAAATTACATTTCTCATCGGTCTGCAGACTCAAGATATAAAACAAAAATCAAATTGCTTTCCTTAGGGAATAATAAAGCGAGCGGTTGCCCTGACTGTTTCTTTTTGGGTTTGCGGTCAGATTATCTATCTATTGTAGGCAGCATCCTGAAAGGACGTAAGGGACTCAAGCGAACCCCTGTCCCCATTATCATTCTAGCTAACGTTGCAACTAATCGGCCGTTGCAGTCCTCCGCGATGGGGACTCTGATGAGGAATTTCGAGTTCAGCATAAAGAAGCGAAAGGACATGCCTGTGCCTGTGCTAGAATGCCATCAGTCCTCGAAAGGAAAGACTGCTAGACAATTCTTACATACATACTGCAAAACTGACAACAAGCATTTAAGTCAAGACTGATATTTAAAAACTGAATGAAATTGAAAATAAGACGAATAGAAGAAACTGTTTCATTGTTGGCAGCTACCTCAGGACATTCAGGTAATCTTTTCCATTATTTCGAAATAAACCCTCGAAAAGAACACTTCTACTTGATGAC